CCCCACATCCTTCATCTGCCCACCCCCGCCTGTCCCCCAGCCTAGGCATCCTGAGGCAGAAGACAGTGAACTAACCTGAGTTCCTAGCCAGGCCCCCATCTTAGTTGAAAAAGAACTCTCAAGGAGTCTGTCGGGTGGGGGCAGGGAATGCGTCTGGGTGGGGCAGGCATCTTTGAGGCCACCTGGAGGATCAGCCAAGCCAGGGTTCCAAGTAGGAGGACCAGGGCTCACTGGTGTCCACCAGAGAGGCAGGGGGCAGACCCCAGACTTAAGCCACAGGCACACAGGTCTCCCCAACTCTAAGGCCTCCCAGAGTGCTCTGGGACAGAGTTCTAGCTCCCCCCCCCTTGGCTTCCCAGGGGTAAGGGAGGGCCCAGGCCGGCCAGGGAGCCTTGACAGCCCTTCTCATGCTCTGCCTTATAGCTACGTGATGCGAATGAAGGAGTTTGAGCGGGAGCGGCGGCTGCTCCAAAGGAAGAAGCGGCGGGAGCAGAGGGAGGCGGATTTGGCCAGAGACCAGGTGGCCCTGTAGTGGGGCCCACCCATCACCCTTGGACAAGTGGAGAAAATAAAAAGGCCCTCAGCCCAAGCCCTGCCTGTTCTTATGGTATACTGGTTCCCAAAGCCCCCAAAAGAAAACACAGAGCCTAAGTCTGAATCCGGCTGGTCAGGCAGATTTTATTTCAGGTGCTGGAGAGCGGTATACCCCCATCCCTCCCCAAGAAGGACCCGGGGTGGGGGTACAAGAGCCAGCTCCTGAGAGTTCGACTGGTAGAAGCCAGTGGGGGTGGGTGACTCAGAGCAGGAAGGGGATGATGGGCATGCGCAGGGGTGGGTAGTCTTGGAACTCCTTGAGGTAGCTGCGGTGCTTGCCCTTGGCCCAGATGGTCATTTGGATGAAGCCCACCAGGGAGAAGAGGGCCACTGCAGAGCAGAGCAGGGGGTCAGGGAGGGTGCACAGCCTCGGGTAGGGCAGGACCCAGCTAAGGGAGGGGAAGCAGCCTCACCTGGGAGACACTGTGTCATGATGGCAAAGCCGATCCACGACCCCACCTGTGGGCACAGGGTGGGAGGTAAGGGCAAGCAGGGCTGGGCAGGCCAGCTGTTCTGTTGAGGCCTCATACCCCCTGGGCTACCTCCCTCCCAACCTTTTCTTTCCACGTGGAAGGTAGGAATGAAACTCAAGCTAGAGGGGCCAGAGTAAAGGAGAGACTGCATAATGAGGCTGCCCCTCAGCCCTCAACAGCCACAAGCCCAGCCTTACACAACTCCCAACCCCCAAGAGGCTACAGTCTCTGCATCTCCAGATGCTCCCAAGTTCAAACTGCAAAAGCAACTGCTGAGCCAGGCAACCCCCTACAGGGACTGGACCCTCCACATGGAACCTAAAGCCCCATGAGGGAGAGGGGAGCAGGGCAGGCCCTCACCTCATAGGTGTAGTTGGGGCAGGACACCAGCAGGAAGAGCCACGTGAAGGGATTCTTTGTGGGATATGGGATCTTCCTGGTCTTGGATCCTGAGGGGCAGGATGAAAAGGGTGAGTGAGATCCCCCCGGGCCAGCCTGCATGCCCCTCTGCCCCGAACAGACCACTCACCAGCCGGCCGCAGATCCCGCAGGGCCATGTGGATGGAGAAGTTGCCCAGCTGGCAGATCTGTCAGAGGAGCAGGGTTAGCCCAGAGCCCTGCACACTCCCTCCACCCTGTCACACATACCAGCATACTTACCACAAAGATGGCCAGTGCCAGTTTAACCTGCTGAGCTCCATAGGCTGAAAAAGAAAAGCCAGAGGGGAGGCCTGTGAGGGGAGCCCAGTGGGGGGTAGGGGCTCACAGGAGGAGCAGGGTCCCAAAGCTACTTACTGGGGGGCGTGTAGAGAGGGTGATTGATGTAATAGGCCATCCACGCAGCAAAGCCCCAGTAATAGGTGCAGTTCTGAAAGGAAGCAAGGCCAGGATGGGGCCTGGCCCAGTGGAGGACGGGGTACAGGTGGACCAGGTGAGGGGTAGAAGAGGGCAGGGTCTGAGTGGGTGGGGCCAGAGAGCTGGGTCCTGCAGAGAGCAGGGTGGGGG